AGCAATGGTGACACCCATGTGGACCTTGTTGGGGACAGTGACACAAACTTTCAAACCAATAATTACAGGGTTAAAATGTAAGGCACTCCTACACATGGCATACAATCCCTCCCCTCTGCCTGGGAGATAATTAAGTCAGATACTGCATTAACATTATCTCCAAGCAGAAAAACCACATATTTTTGTAAGACCCCCAAAGTACCCCAAAACACACAATATCCCCTGATAGCCCTGATCTGGGTGACCAACATATCCAAAAATCACCCAGATCAAATCAGATCAGGGGTTCAGAAATTCTATGGAAGTGATTTATTTGACCCACCGTAGGCATGGTCCCATGCCCAAAACAGTTCCAGAGAATCAGTGCTTGTGGCCAGTCTAGTTTGGTAGTTTGCAAACGAACAAACTACCAAACAGAGTCAATGTTCTTACCTTGGACATACAGACGAATGATCCCACCGAACAGTGCCCTTCTAATGTGTATAGAAATGAACGCAGGCGATATGGAAGTCCAGCGGTGTTCGGGAGTTTCTGTATCCGATTTTAGTTCCATGAGATTCATGCCCGAACACCACTGCCTGCGTTCATGCAAACAAGATGGCCGCCACCTCGTGGTTGTCCATAGGAATTGCGGCCACCCAGACGAACAATTAGAACACTGCAGTGAGAATCGTTCCAAGTTGTTAATAGGTGTCTCTGGTTCGTGCGGTTGTTTGGTAAACTAACCATACAGTCCCAATTGCACGAACAGAGCCTGTTATAAGTCCAAGAGGCACAATTGGTGTTTTCAAATAGCGTTTAACTCAGGGGCCATAGTCACAGGGCAAGAGTATGCCCCTCCAAGAACCCGTCACAAGGTCCAGTTCGTCACACTATCTACTGGGCATCTGCGAATCACAAAACTGTTAATGTCTCCTCATATGAAGTATGGGTCCTGCACGGCTAGATTTGTCTCTTGAAAGTTTGAGACTCGTGTGTCTCTGTATATGCAAATCTAGAATTTTTTGATATGCAGAGATGCACAACAAACTTCTTGATTTATGTAGAGCATAAATTAGAGAGCAAAATAGACAAATAATACATTTTATATAAAATAATTATGTTCTTATATACACTGTGTGTCTGTGTATTTATGAAGCAAGAAAAAGAAAAAAAAAAGACTATAAAATAATGAAAATAGTAAAATAATGCAGGCAAAAGTGCCCTAGTGATGGGGAATAACAACCACATTTTTCAATTGATCCGCAAAACAAAAAAACAAGTGTTGCATTGTAAATTATACTTAACATCCAATGATCAAAGAAATTCTGTAAAAAAAATATAAACAAACACAATCTAGTGCATATTATCCTTATTACAAATAATAAATGATATACATATGTGGTTTGCACTAACATTTACCAGAGCCCTATCAACCCAGGATCTGGGTGAAAAAAGCTCAGCTTGAGAGGGAATAACTCCCAACCACACTCAGACCTGAAGACCTTTGCTACCAATGATGGCAATCTTTATTTGCAGTGGCTGCAGGGATGACAGAACTAAGAAACCCCAATGACAAAGTATAACACAAATTTTATTGCATAAAAAAAATTAAAACTGCTTACTCAAAGTAATGGTATATAATACTTCCGGGTTTTGTCAGAGGCCGAGTCCAGGCTACGCCTCCCAACGTTTCTCGTGACATCTTTCGCCCAGCTCTATTCCTCTTTAGTTCCTCAGCCTTTGCTTGTATCCCATTAGACAAATTCAGTGATAGGGGTGGGGGAAAGTTTGTTCTATGCATACACATTGCAGTCCACTTAATTTCTTTGGCAATCATGTTAAAAGTCTTTTTCAATTAAAATCGTTCTTTCTTATAATGACCATCTACACTTTCTAAATCATACAATCCATGCATTAGAATATCTTTTATTTAATAATACATATACAGTAACTATCAAACACCATAAAGGCTAAAAAATATCTCTTGATATGACTTTATATATAGAGAAAATGGTCATACTGCTGCATGACCATACACACACATCTCTTGAATTCACCTTAAAGGGACACTCCAGGCACCCAGACCACTTCTGCCCATTGGAGTGGTCTGGGTGCCAACTCCCACTACTCTTAACCCTGCAACTGTAATTATTGCAGTTTTTTATAAACTGCAATAATTACATTGCAGGGTTAACTCCACCTCTAGTGGCTGTCTAGAGGTGGAGTTAACCCTACAATGTGTGAGGACCTCCAACGTCACTCATTTCCCCATAGGAAAGCAGTGAAAAGCATTTTCAATGCTTTCCTATGGGGAGCTCTAATGTGCATGCGCGGCATTGCATGCGCATTAGGTCTCCCCGGCCCGTGGGCGGCATCAGACTCGCCCACCGGCCGACACTATCACTGGGAGGAGCGGCGGCGGAGGAAGAAGCAGCGACGTGGGACATCGTCATTGCCTCTGGTAAGTTACTGAAGGGGTTTTCACCCCTTCAGCAACTGAGGATTGGTGGGTGGGAGGAAGAGGGGACCTGCAGTGCCAGGAAAACGGATTGTTTTCCTGGCACTGGAGTTTCCCTTTAAATAATAAATAAACACATTAGATAGTGAAAAAACACCTATGGTTGATTATAAAGGTGGCTGTGTATTTCCAATGAACTAACCAAACACACACACCAATATATCTTAATTCCCAGTTTTAATCCATATTCTAAAATCCAAAAAGAGTTGAGTAATGAAGAAAAGTTAACAAAAAAGTTGATTATCTTCTAAACTAAACTACCAAAAGTCAAAATATAAAAGAGGAATATATTGCTGAAGAAAACAGGGGAAAGATGAATTATTACAGAAGGAAATTCTATATTTATAAAATATTGTAAACTGTTAGAAAAGGGGATCATCTTCTAAATCTAAATATCCAATATTAAAAAAAAATCCAAAAATTAGAAAGGTACATAAAATATATATATAAAATATTTTCTAGAGCATATATGATATCCCTAAAATAAATTCATAAAAAATTGCATAATTCAGACCCCTAGGGAATAGTGTCACAGGAGTCGTATCCCAACATGCAGGAAAGAGGAAACCCACAAAATAAGTTTCTGAAAGACGTATTGCCGGTCTTAATGTATTAATATAGTGAAAATAAAGGTCAAGACTAAATAAAGGTCAGAAATACAGAAATACACAAAGTCAAGACAAATCCGGGTCAGGATACCAGAAAATCACAAGTCAAATACAAGCCAAGGTCAAACACAGGAAATCACAAGAGAATCTCTAGGAGCACTAAATGATGATATAAAAAGAAACCACGATAGGGCAATGAATAGGGGATAAAACAAGCCTTAAGTAGGCTTACCTCTGTTTTGATAGGGCCACGTTATCATTGCGACTCAAAATAGATTTGGATCGCAATGAAAACGATGATGTCCTGCTGTGCAGCCGCGTGGGTCAGCCAGACCGTTAGGAGGAGGTGAGGAGAAGATGAGTGCACTTGAGTATGCCACGCAGTCCAGCCGCGCAGCAGGAGGAGGGCAGCGCATTTCGAGGGAGGTGAGTACAAATAGTGCGTTCAATTTAAAAATCCAACTCATCTCTTGCTGATACATTTAAAAAAAAAAAATCTAAATCTCCACCTCTCCATTCTCTATCAACTGTCTCAATGCCTAAAAACTCTAATAAACTGGGATATCATTGATGAACTCTACTAAAAGATGATAATGGGTTTTCTTTAAAACCTTTTTTTTATGTTTCTAACATGTTCCTCAATGCGAATATGTATCTGTCCTATTGTCTTCCCTACATATTGAAATTTGTAGGGACATGTTATAACATAAATGCATGTCTTAGTGTGACATGTAGTCAATTGTTTTATCTTGTATTTGTTGATCCACTTAAAACCTCTTTAGTTACACCCCTACGTGCCGATGCATATCTACATGCTAGACAGTACCCACATTTAAAGAACACTATCTCATTAAAAAAAAAATTTTTATTAAATTTTTTATTTGATTTTGAACAAGAATATTAACATGTACAATTTGTAGATGTAGATTTTTCGTTAAAGCGCATAATAGTATACCAAATATAATAGATCATTTAAATCCTAATATTAAATACTTATATAATTATCGTGAAAAGTATTGCAGTTTCTCTAACATTTCTCTGGGGACTCTGAGTAATTGTTTGACAAAGATACTCCAATTTAGGATGAAAATAAGATCTTAAAGTGTTTATTCTCCCAAGCCAAGAGAGTTGAACTTTGCTCCATTTATCTGTCAAGCTTTTAAGCTCTTGGAGGAGTTTGTTATAATTTTTCTGAATCCAGGAACTAATATGAAAGTTGATCTTAATGCCAAGATATTAAGTAAATTTATTAGACGTTTTAACATTTAATATTGGGACTTTACAAGGAAAATCCAATATTCTCATATATGTATATAATTCCTTATTGGGGAGACCTGATCTTGATTGGATGTCTGAAAACTTACTCTCAGCAAAGTACATATCCTTTATTTTAACTTGTCCTACCTCTAACCAACCTGTTAAATTGAGATCTTGAATAAAAAATTTCAGAACTGTCAGTGGAGTATGTTTGGAGAGTTGATTATTTAAGAAAAAGAGTTTCTGGGGGCGTGGCCTGACAGTGGAACCGCATGGAAGCATCTCCTCAGAGCTCCCGAGGTTTAAGCAGCAAGGGCCGAAATAATCGATTCACAAGCAATACTGCTCCATTACTCCAGAGCAACAATGTCCCAGAGGCAAAAATCTAAAACTGCCAAACCTGGTAAATCATCCTTTTTCCTTGCTAAAGCCGGAATGGCGGCAAGCCCCGCTTCCGAGATGAATCAGAGTCACCGACGATTTCTATCGGCCTGATACAGGAAGATAATCCTGTGACAGAACCCCAACTGGCGTAGTTCATGGCCACAATGCAAGCAAACATTTCGGCCCAACTGCGTGCCTTATATGCATACCTCCGCAAAGAAATACAAGACATAGGCCAGCGCACCTCTCACATGGAGACCAGGCTCGATTATCTAGCCGACGCCCATAATGCCATCACTGATAGGCTACAAGAGATGGAAGACACCATTACCGCCCAAAACGTGAAACTGGCGGACCTGGAGGACAGATCCAGGCGGAATAATATCCGCATAAGCGGTATACCGGAAACGGTTCTGGCCCCTGACTTACAGCAATACCTTCAGGACCTCTTCCAGACCCTAAAGCCAGAGATACATCCAGACCAACTAATAGTGGACCGAGTACACAGGCTGGGACGTCCCAATCACCTCCCTCCGACAGCAGCCAGAGATGTCATTGCCCGCATCCACTTCTTCCACTCTAAGGAGCGCATCATGAAAGCATGCGTGAGGACCTACCGGACCCATACAACGGGATCAAAGTGTTTGCTTACCTAACGGATGCCACGTTTACCTTCCAAAAATCGCTGGCACCCCTCACACAAACTCTTCGGGCACACAAAGTGGTCTACAGATGGGGAGACCTGATAACAAGAAACGGCGCGACACACCAAATACTCACTCTGCAACAAGGCATCCACTAGCTGCATGAGTGGGGCTACCCGACTTCGCAGACAACACCAGAGACGCAGAATAGAACCCCCAGAATGACCAAAGAATGGACTAAAGCTTAACACAATGCTTTGGGTCTCCTGGGGTATCGTATGGGTAGGGTACCACTATCATACAGATGTATCATGCTCACTTTGAAGAGTTGCAATTGTTATATGTGCCAAGGCATAATACTGTTTACCCGATCGTTAATCCCACTTATATATTTAAGCTATATCCTAAAGAGGGTCCCACTGTGATACACCCACTTATGGGTTACAAGCAAAATTCCAGCCCACTATAGGCAATCTACTCGCCGATTAGCTGCCTCCAGTGCTGAGCCACTTGGTGTCTTCAACTCACAGGTGAAGGCTGTCTCCTGGCTAGATGTTGATACTGCCCTTTCACAACTTCCCTGACTTACACATAGCGAGGAGCTTTCCGTAAGATCAAGACACACTTCATGAAAATAAATAAATAAATAAAATAAAAATAAAATGAAAAGCTCACCACCTAAGTTACGGGCCCAAGCTCGGAACACTACTGGACTGCATATGCCCCTTGCGAGTGCCTCACTGTTTGAGCCACTTCACGCCACCACCCCCATCCATAGTGCCGCTGCATTGCGACGCGTATAGACTAACTTTGGATGAGCTACCACCTAGTTTATCATTTTTCCAAGTTTTTAACCCTGGTATACCTGTTCGGGCCCTACCCCCTTCCCCTTACTCTACAAGACGCGTGAAGCTTGCTATTCAGAAACCCAGTACCTATGCTACAAAATATCACAACACCGCAACAGTATAGAATGATGCTACCCACCTTCAGTTGGCAGACATGCCCTTACCTAGAAATCCTAGACCAGACCCCCATTTAAATATTAAAAGTAAGAATACACCCAGGATTGAGCACACTGGCTACACTAATCTGCTGATAGACATTAGCGACCCCCACTTCAAAACGTAATATGAAAATTGTAACCTATAATGTAAAAGGTTTAAACACTCCTAATAAGTGGAGCTTGCTTCTCCGAGATCTCAGGAAAAGCAAAGCAGATATTCTGTGTATTCAGGAAACCCACTTAAACAGCCCCCGAACGCCAAAACTATCTGCCAAATACTTTCCGACCCAATACCACTCTCTCGACCAACAAAACGAAAGGAGTCTGTTAACCACCCTTAATGGGCTCAATTAGAACAGCACACCTGTTAACCACCCTTAATGGGCTCAATTAGAACAGCAGAACATCCTACCCCACGAGATCCGAAATCTTATTTGACTTCCTAGACATCTATGTCCAGCGGCCTCCACACTCCCCCCTCAATTGCCTTGACACTCCAGATCTAAGGCAGAAACAGGCAGAAACTGTCAGCTAATGCCCCTTTATCCCTAGTGACCCCCATTGTGGCACTACTTTATTGGATCCCCACTTTCAACACTAAACCATGATTGGATAGGAAGGTAACACATATGTATTAACGGTATGAAAACACCAAGCTGTTAGACTACCACACCTTAGCATCTAGGTATGACCTATCCAGATCCTCCCAATACTCTTATATGCAACTGACATCCTTCCTGACTAGACAGCTCAGGCCAGTCACCGGTTATGCTCTATCCACTGATACACTCAGCATATGGTAAAAACTCTGTATAAATGCTAAAATGCCCCCTCTATGTAAACCGATCTCCATGTGTTCTAAACTTGTCTCAGACCATATCTCATTTGCTGACTCCGAACCAGCAACACAATGGCACATAGACCTCCACCGGACGCTTCCCCAGAAACACTGGGAACACATTTTTAAGCTGAACCAGCAGCTGCTCAAAGCAGCCACCCAAAACGAACAACACTACAAAACACTGTACCGGTGGTACTTGGTACCCAGCAGACTGCATAGAATGTTCCCTCAAATGACAGATACATGTTGGCGTTGTGAGGCCGACGAAGGCTCCTACATACATGTCTGGTGGACTTGCAATGCCATCTCAGGTTTGTGGCAAGAAATCCACCACTTTCACTCTAAACACATAGAACTCCCCATTACAGTCTCGCCAGGAACATACCTCCTCCTGGACCTCCCTCAATTCCTACCAAGACATGAAACTAAACTTATCTCCCATGTAGCACTTACTACCCAACGCACTATTGTCACAAGCTGGAAATCGACCACAACCCCCTCCATCCAAAGCATCCTTAGGATGGGATGTAGATAAACAAGGTGCATACGAGAGCAACTTCCCCGGCCTATACCCCACACCAAACTAATCTCGAAAACATGATTGACATGGGACGCATGAAGATCGGGGTCTAGTGGTTAAGCTGTAAAAGATGTACTAATTATATAACAGTGTTTGCAGATGACACCAAACTTTGTAAAACAATACAATGTGAGCAAGATATTACTTTGCTGCAGAGGGATTTAGATAGACTGGGGGACTGGGCACTCAAATGGCAGATGAAATTTAATGTTGAAAAATGCAAAGTTATGCACTTCGGCGTAAAGCATACACAAGCAACGTATACCCTTAATGGAAGCGAATTAGGGAAAACAACACATGAAAAGGACTTGGGAATTGTTATAGACAACAAACTATGCAACAATGTGCAATGTCAATCAGCAGTGGCCAAGGCCAGTAAGGTATTGTCATGCATGAAAAAGGGCATTCATTCTCAGGACGAGAATATCATTTTGCCTCTTTATAAATCACTGGTAAGACCCCATATTGAATATGCTGTGCAATTTTGGGCACCTGTTCTAAAGAAGGATATTATGGCACTAGAAAAAGTGCAGAGGCGGGCTACAAAATTAATAAAAGGAATGGAACATATCGGCTATGAAGAAAGGTTAACAAATTTAAACCTATTTAGTTTAGAAAAACGTCGCCTGAGAGGGGATATGATAACATTATACAAATATATTCGGGGCCAATACAAACCATTGTGTGGAAATCTATTCACAAACCGGACTTTACATAGGACACAAGGCCTTGCGTTTAGACTGGAAGAAAGAAGATTTCGTCTAAGGCAAAGGAAAGGTTTTTTTACTGTAAGAACAATCAGGATGTGGAATTCTCTGCCTGAAGAAGTGGTTTAATCAGAGTCCATACAGATGTTTAAACGGCTACTAGATGCATACTTGCAAGAACAGAATATTCAAGGATATAATCTTTTAATGTAGGGTAATAACTGCTTGATCCAAGGATAAATCTGACTGCCATTCTGGGGTCAAGAAGGAATTTTTTTCCCTAGCTTGTTGCAAAATTGTGCTTCAAACTGGGTGTTTTTGCCTTCTTTTGGATCAACAGCAAAAAACAAATGTGAGGTAGGCTGAACTTGATGGACGCAAGTCTCTTTTCAGCTATGTAACTATGTAACTATTGGGCCCCCCTCAGGACCTTAAGCAACATATCGAACCTAGAAGGGGTGACCAAACAGGTTAGGCAATCTTCAGATACCACTATACTGTTGTTTTCACTTACCACAACCATACAGACCAAAACGAAAGGGTACCTACTGAGGAAAGGATGACAGTCCTGTCCTATAATGATACTGTATAAGAATGGATCAGCATGCATTGTTTGTACGCTATTGCACTTTAGGAGCATTCCCCCCTTCCGCCCCTTTTTTTCTCCTTGCCGTAACCCCTCCCCCGTTATTGTTGAAGTTTAACTGAAAATAAATAAAAATTTTCAAAAGAGAGAGAGTTTCTTTATAGGATCCATAGATTGAAAGGCTTGTTTGATTACTAGATTGTCTATATTAAGATTTCTAAAAATGTTTTTATCTATCCCCAAAAAATGGAATGGGTCAGATTTACCACATTCATTTCTTTCATATTTATTATTTTATTATTATTTTATTATTTATATAGGTCCTTCAGATTCCATAGCACTGTACAATGGGTGGACTAACAGACATGTAATTGTAACCAGACAACTGGATGTACAGGAACAGAGTGGGTGGAGGGCTCTGCTTACATTCTAGAGATATTTATACCAAGATTTTGTGCTGGAGTTTCTGTTTTCCTATTAAAGAAAATGGGAGAACATAACAGAATTGTGTATAAAAAAACATTGGGAAAAGATAACCCTCCTTCTGAAGTTCTAATTGTCATTGTTTTAAGCTCAATTCTCGTTTTTATACCTCCCCAAACATACAATGTGAACCATCTATGAAAAGACTTTAATATTTCTCTGGGGACTCTGAGAGTAATTGTTTGACAAAGATACTCCAATTTAGGAAGCAAATAAGATCTTAGAGCATTTATTCTCCCAAGCCAAGAGAGTTGAACTTTGCTCCATTTTTCTGTCAAGCTTTCAAGCTCTTGGAGGAGTTCGTTATAATTTTCCTGAATCCAGGAACTAATATGAAAGTTGATCTTAATGCCAAGATATGATATGAATGTATTAGACCAGTTAAATTGAAAGGCTTTTGGAAGGGATATTTTCTGTAGGTGAGAAAGATTGTTATGAATAACTTGCGTCTTATGAATATTAATTTTACAATTAGAGAAATGGCTAAATTCCTCTATACAACCCATCACAGCTGGAATAGAAACCTCTGGATTTGTAGTCAAGATTATATCATCCGCAAACAATGTTATTTTATGTTCTACATGCTAGACAGTACCCACATTTAGAGAACCCTAGCTTCTCAAAAAAATATTTTTAATGTTTTCTTTATTTTAAAACTACTTTTAACTATATGGGGCTTGATATTTGAGACCCCTCTATTTATTATCTTATGGGTTTCTTGAATGATGTCCTGTAACATTGGATCTTCTGATAAGACATGTCAATGTTTTTTGATAATATTTTTTAAAACTTTCTCATTAGTCGAGTAATTAAAAGTCAGTGTAGCGCCTTCTGCATTTTTATTGTTTATTTACTTATACTTTTTTTCTTCCTTTTCTGTATTTTTCCTATAGCTCTCTATTTTCTACTTTTCTTTCAATAGATCTACTCTATCTATATTATGCACTTCCCTATATGCCTTCTTAATTACTTTCATAGGGTAATCTTTTTCTTCAAAATCCTTAACTAATTTAAGTGTCTGATCTTCAATTTCTTCCAATTTAGAGCAGTTTTTCCTGATTCTTAACCCCTTCAGGACGGAGTCAATAATACACGTTCTGATCAAAACAAAATGTAAACAAAAACTGGGATTCACGCTATATGTCTGTTGAACCGTAATTCACCTCTTTCATATTAAGTGCACCCATACTTATAATATATAATTTTATTCAGGAGAAACGGCTTTAATTGCTCATGAACTATTCATATATGAAACATAATTTATTATGAATAAAATAAAAAAAATATGAGAATATAAGATTTCTAAAAACAATTTGTAGTTCCGCCTGACATTTTAGCTGTAAATGTCATAATACTGTTAGCTTTTACTGGAATAAAATGCATATTTGTATTCAGCAAAGTCTCACAAGTACAACAGTACCCTCCTTTAACAGGTTTTACGGTATTTCAGAAAGTTACAGGGTCAAATATAGCACATTCCATTTTTCCGCTTTTTTCACATTGAAATTTGCCAGATTAGTAATGTTACCTTTGAGACCATGTGGTAGCCCAGGAATGAGAATTACCCCCATGATGGCATACCATTTGCAAGAGTAGACAACCCAAGGTATTGCAAGTGGGGTATATCCAGTCTTTTTTAGTAGCCACTTAGTCACAAGCACTGACCAAAGTTAGCATTCATATTTGTTTTTGTGGGAAAAAAGCAAAAAAATAATATTTGCCCAGTATTTGTGACTAAGTGGCCACTAAAAAAGACTGGACATACCCGACTTGCAATACCTTGGGTTCCCTACTTTTGCAAATGGTATGCCATTATGGGAATAATTTTCATTCCTGGACTAACATACGGTCTCAAAGGCAACATTACCAAACTGGCAAATTTCAATGTGAAAAAAATGAAATGCAAGCCTTATATTTGACTCTCTAACTTTCCAAAACACCATAAAACCTGTACATGGGTTATAATCATTGTAATACAATTTACCATTTTGAAACACTAATATTTGTGTTCAACAAAGTCTCCCGAGTAAAACAGTACCCCCCATGTTACAGGGTTAAATATAGTACTTGCAAATTAAATTCTCTGCACTTTCTGCCTGGGTTGTCAGACATGTCAATCAAATTTTAATTAATAAAATCACATAATTATGTTAAAAGATTACTTAAATATACACAGAGAATTTTAATATATATATATATATATACATATATTTGTATTTAAATTCTATATGTATACTTATATAATCAATAATGTAATTATATATATTTATCTATATATATATATTTGCGGTTGTTTGTATTTTATATCTAGATAGGTATATATATAACATGTCATTCTAAGTGTATTTTGTTACATATATATATATATATATATATATATCTATATATATTAATAACAAAATACAGTTAGAAGGAAATTACATATGTATATATAATTTATTTTCATTAAAAAAAAAATATTTATTAATTGTATCATTTTATTTATTTATTATTGTAATTATACGTATATATAAATATAAAATATATATGTAATATATATATATATATATATATATATATATATATAAAAATATATATGTCTTATATATATGTAACTTCATTCTAAGTTTATTTTAATACTGATATATGTCCTTATATTAATCTTAAAATACACTACGTATGACGTTACATATATTTAAGATGTGTATATATCATATATATATATATATATATATATATGTATACTTAATTTATTTTAAACATGTTTAATACATTTTTTACACTCCCCTCCTTGCAGATCCACAGCCAGCTATAGGGGATCATGTGATCGCTCTTTGAGAGCGATCACATGGCCCTCAGGTGCATGGTTTGCCATGGGAGGGCTGCCTGGACTTTCAGGCAGTGCTCCAGAAGAGGATCGCAGCAGAGGTAAGTCCACCAGATCTCCTGGGGGCTTAAGCTATTACGGGTTCTATGCCGCCACAACGGCTTTAAAGCCCATTATAATGGGGACGGCATAGAACGCCTTAACAACATTAAATCAGGAAAAACAATCCAAAAAAATAAAGCTGTTAACATCTACAGCCTTAAAAAAAGTATTAGTGTGGATCTTTCCTTCTAATATATGTATATATCTATATCCATAAACTTGCACTCCAGGGTGTTGAAGTCTGTCAGGCTCGGTGCTGGTCTGCACAATTATCCAAAATGCACGAACAAGATGGCACTCCAGGGACTTGAGGATATTGTAAAAATAAAACTTAACTTGTTATCTTGCTATCTTGTTATATATGTATGTTGCTGTGAATATATATATATATATATATATATATATATATATATATAAACAAAAGTAAAGAAATGCACTCCAAGGGCTTAATGAGTGAAAAAAGGGTGATTTATTCCAATAGGTATTACATCAAAAATTAGCCGACGTTTCAACCCATTCGGGTCTTTCTCAAGGTCAATGTACCTATCTATAAAAGTTATATTTATAGGGAATAAGAAAATGTACTCACCAATCGTGAAGAAACCCCTGAATCCCTTTGTGCAAACCCGGAAGTGAAACCTGAAGTGAAGACCCGCGGTCAGGTGATGCATGTGTGATGACGTGGTGTTGCTAGGATACCGATAAACAAACACAATTATAAGATCGGTATAATGGTCTCAGATATGTGTACCGGGTGTACAAGTGAAATGCATAATAACTACTTATAAAATGTGTATATATGCTATCATAATAAGTATAATGAAAGTGCTATGTGCATTAAGCAGCAAAAATATGAAAAAATGTGAACAAAAGTGAAAAAAGATTGTGATATCATATACACTATAGAAAGTGTCACTTTGTACCCAATGAAAGGGCAACCCAAAATAAGGTGTGTTAAAAAAATTTCACATACCATATTCAGATTGCAGGCACTACATATGATATTATATAGTGATTAAAAATGAATCATTTCAAAGAGGAGAATTAAAGCTACTAAGGCAAAGGCTCAGAAAACAGAAAAGGGCCGTGGGCATGCAAATAGAGAGGACTGCATCAAGAGACAAATACAGCAGGTCATATATATGCCACAAACTAAATATATCTAGTCAGAGCACATTCTGTATAAATAATTACAGTCAGTGCAATTAATAAAGATCTTTTGGATCATAGATCTCATAGATCTCAGAAGCTCACAATATTTTAAAAAAAACATATTTAGACAATAACTGAAAAAGCATATGCAACGTAGCAATCATTTTTAAAAAAATCCAAAAAAGTTTAAAAAATGAGAAAAAGACTAATAGAAAAGTAGACTAAAATGAAACAATGAAGTAAAAATAAAACTATTTTTTTTAAAAATAATAATAAAAAATAAAGAAAAAGGACAAAAATAATTTTAAAGAAACATGGAGAGCACAATATTTTCATTAAGTCCTCTTGGTGTCACTGTGTCTAATCGATGAATCCATTGTGCCTCACACTGAAGTAGCTTCTTCGATCTGTCACCTACTCTGGGCATCGGGGGGACATGGTCAATGGCCATAAAACGTAACATAGGGAGTCTATGTTGCATATGTAAAAAGTGTTTAGCAACTGGTTTGTCGCTACGTTGGTCCCTAAATGCTGTAGTTATTGTCAACCGATGTCCCCTTATGCATTCTCTTAAAATCAAATCGGTCTTGCCCACATATGAGAGTCCGCAGAGGCATGTGATCATGTATATCACATGGTCAGTGGTACAAGTAATATAATGTGATATTTTGATTCTCTGACCACTATGGGGATGAGCAAAGGTCATACCACTGATCATGTGACCACATGCCACACATCCACTAAATTTGTAGCAGTCTTTCTTGGTGATAATCTCAGGTTTACGGTAGCAAATTATGGGATGACTTTTCACCAGAAGGTCTTTTAATTTTTTTTTTTCCTTCTGTAACTGATAACTGGAGTATCCTCAAATGTATTAGGTAATGACTTGTCTGATCGTAATATGTCCCAATGTTTTTGAATGGATTGTCTTACTTTTGATGTACCTGTATGAAAGGTCATGGGAAGGTAAATTCTCGATTCTTTTGGTGCCTTCTCAGTTTTGTCATTCAGTTTTTCTCGATTCCATATTTCGAAGGCTTTGGTCTGTGCTGCTTGAAGAATGTGTGGATGATAACCACGTACACGAAATCTATCCCACATCTCATCAAGTTGAATTTTATGTTTTTCAGTTTCCGTGTTGTATCTCAATGTTCTTAAAAATTGAGAAATTGGTAATGATTTCTTAAGTTGTAGATGAAAACTGGAGGCGGAGAGGAGGGTGTTGCGGTCAGTGTTTTTACGATACAAAGTAAATTCCAAATTATTTCCCTTCTTATAGATGGTAACATCCACAAATTGAATTGACTTTTCATCAATTTGATGGCTCAAAACAACTGGTATAGGTGATTGATTTATCTCCTTAATCATTTGCTCCAAATCCATAATAGTGCCTGTCCAAATCATAAAAAGATCATCCACACAGCAGTAATAGTGTTGGATGTAATGCCCAAATTTTGCCAAAATATGGGTGCGTTCAAAGGTGTACATGAAGACGTTGGGATACGATGGTACCATCGCTGCCCCCATCGCATTTCCAGACAATTGTACGTAAAATTGATTTTCAAATTTAAAGTAATTGCATGTAAAAAATTCTAACAGGTACTCAATCGGCCGTCCTTCAAATATTGATTCGGCTCGGATATCACTCAAAGCCTGCACACCCTCCCCGTGGGGTATGATGGTGTACAGGCTCTGAACATCCATCGTGACAAGTAAGGATGTAGAGTCCACATATGGTGATCCTTGAATTCTGGATGTAATACCTATTGGAATAAATTACCCTTTTTTCACTTAAGCCCTTGGACTGCATCTCTTTACTTTTGTTTATACATCTTCAACGCGGGATTGCACCTAGGCTAAAGTGGATTATTTACACGAAAGGGTGAGTGCCAAGAATCATTTTATCATATCATATATATCTGTATGTTGCAGTGAATCCTTGCACTCAGGCTGCATACAAATCCATAGCCAGGTGCATAATTACCAGGGCTCCAATATCCAAAGAATATAAAAAGGTGGCTGTATTCACAGTCTTCAAATAAAAATTAATGCTTTATTGTATTTCCATTTAAAATCGACGTTTCAGTCCCTCTAGGGGACTTTCATCAGGATCAAAGACAATACAATAAAGCATTGATTTTTATTTGAAGACCGTGAGTGCAGCCACCTTTTTATACTCTTCGTATACATATTTTGAGATTCAAAAAAATGAACTTCAGTGTCACTATGGTCCACCGTGAGTTTAAGAGTTGGAATTGACATGTGTAACAAATAAATCCTCACTAGATCCCCTCCAGATCCAAAACAGATCATCAATATAACGGCCAAAGGCGACCAGGTTCCGCATCCAGCCATGCCCCTCATCTACAAAGAAATCTTCCCAATATGCCATAAACAGATTGGCATAGCTGGGTGCAAATCTGCAAAGAAAAAGAATCTTTAAAGAAAAAACAATTGTGTTTTCAAATTAAATCAATCCCTTCAAGAATAAAAATATATATAAGCCTCGGATAATTCCGACAACTGGAGAAAGAAGGAAATAGCTTTGAACCCTTTATCATGTCTAATAATAGAGTATAGGGATGAGACATCACTTCCTGAAGATGTGGCTAGTGTCTTTCAAATATGCTTTTGTTTGTTTTACCAAGGGTTGGAGAAACTGGTCAATGTATTCAAACACAGTTGCAGATATGGAGCCAAATCACGAAATAATCGGTCTCCCTGATTTTTATTTTTTCATGTTTGTGAATTTTTGGTAAGAAGTAATATACTGGTATCCTTGGATATAGGACCAGTAAATACTCATACTCCCCTTTAGTGATAATCTCTAATTTTAAACCATTTTCTAAATATTTTGCAAAGATTATTTTCATTTTGTTTGTGGGATTTAAGGGCTTTATAAGTCACTCCATCTGTTAATTTTAGTGTTCTGCTTTAGAAATTCACTACAGAGAATGTAATACAGAGCGTTAGCAGCACAGCTCCAAGCTCGTAAAATCCAGATGCTAACAGGCAGCTAGAATCACTATACTTACGCTTGCGCAATACAAACAAAATTTTTCACACAAATAGTCAACTTAACTATTTTCTACCATCCAGTAACCCAAACAATAATCCTAACTAAGCTTTACATTGCAGATATTTTCTGATTAAATATGAACTATCCCTAAATTCAGATATGTCAATATCTCTGGATAATAGTTTGATATGCTAAACTTGACAATTTACCAGCGATGTTATGTACAATTCTCATTCAACTCCAGAATCAATTTCAAATGATATATAATTCCCTCAGCTAAATATGATTTAAAAAGTTTGGAATCTGATCAGCATTATCCAGGTATATTTTGGCTTTTAGTAAAAATGTATTAAATTAAATTAAACCAGCATATTTACCAATTTGTAGAAGAATATTCTTTTGTAGGATGGATATATAATCCAGTGAATGGGAGACACAAGTAAGAGTGTTTTGAGATAGAGAAATTAGTAGGAATAAAGAATAGTTGTGTAAGATTTCTAAGTCCACAGTTGTCTGACTAACAAAGAAAGTCCCAGAACAGATGGGAAGAGCAGAATGTTAGTGGTAATTCTTTGTCTGGTCTGATCTGATGATGCTTTGATGATATCCTGAATTATCCTAAAAGTGTTGTGTTCTCACTTTTTAAAAAAATTCTGTTCTCTTGAATTCTTTTACATTACAAATTTAAAGTAACTAATGGGGTTATGTGGGTGTACCTTATTCTAATGATTGTCTTTATAGACATTGATAAATAGATGGCGTCAGGCATCTAATTCCAAATATAACTCTGTCTAAGAGGTTAATTGAAATGCATGACGAAAATTACGTAAAATTGCCCTATCTTTATGGCAACAAAGTCATTAATGACTGTCACACTTCAATGGAATATTGGTCAGTCTTGGTAGACTACCAACCTCCATTTATTCCATAAAGTATCTTTTTGATATATATATATACATAGAACGCATAATCCTTGCACTCAGGCTATATCTTTAGTATACAGGGTGCCAGTCCATAAGGCTTCTGTTATACAAATGTAATAAAAGGTACGGCTGCACTCACGGTCTTTTCGTAATAAATATTCCTTTATACCAATTACATGTACTCCGAATAGATTAATGTTTCAGTTCACACAGGGACTTTCTTCAAGATCAAGTTACATATATATGTTAAAAAAATATTAATAAAAGAAATAAGACTATCTTCGGGCCCATCCCAAATAAAAAAGAGGTCATCTATATATCTAAAATATGAGACCAGGTTCGCCCTTAGTTGGTCCCCATCATATATTGCGGAAGATTCCCAATCAGACATGAATAAGTTAGCGTAGCTAGGGGCGAACCTGGTACCCATAGCAGTCACCCTTTTTTGGAGATAAAAAGAATCTAAAAAACAGAAATAATTATTTTTTAAAATGATGTTTATACCTTCCAATATAAAATCTATCTGTTTTTTAGAGAGCCTGTTTTCATTAGTTAGAATGTTTTTAATAGCTTCACATCCAATATTGTGCGGTATAATTGTGTACAGAGACTGTACATCACAGGTAACTAGAATAAAATTTGGATTCCATTAAAAATGATTTAAAAAGTTTAAAAGAGACATTGAATCTTGTAAATATGATTTCATTTTTTTAACAGCAGGTTGGAGGAGAGTGTCTATGTATTGGGAAAGATTGCAAAGGAGCGAACCTATACCTGACACTATTGGTCTGCCAGGAGGATTAATTTTGTTTTTGTGTATTTTTGGGAGAAAATAAATAACTGGAATTATTGGAAATTTTTTCCTCAAAAATGAGAGATATGAGAGATATGAAAATGAGAGATATGAAATTGAGAGATATGCCCATGAGTAAATCCATTGTGGACAGTAATTTGAAGTACAGTTAATTTGTGTATTAAAACGGCTACATTTTGCGTGATGTAATAAAAATTAAATTTTTTACTTTATGAAAAGTGACTGAAGTGGAATGACCCCTCTCTCTATGATCTGTAAATGCTTATCATAGCCGAGTAAAAACAAAATGACATACAGTACTATGTATTTTACTACATTAGTGCAGTTCTACACAGCTGTGTAATGACTGTTCAGTTTACATTTTCCTAATTATGCACACAATTTTAGCATCCAATATATGTTTAATTTGTATCTGCAGGTTATCTACACCGGACGTAATCCAAAAGATGTTCTGGTGTCTCTTTATCATTTTGCCATAATTTCTTTTGTGCTTAAAACACCTCACAGCTTTGATGAATTTTTTGAGGATTTCATCCAAGCCAAAGGTTTGTAAATCATAAAAGTAAAAATTTGCAACCATTGTTGCATATAGCGTGTTTACTTTGTCAGTCTTTACATGTGTCTGAATACTGGGGTATATTTCTCTGTAACATATTACATCCTTCATGATGCTATGTGTGCAGCCCCCTACCAATTTAATCTGTATAGTAAAATATAAGTAATAATAGAAATTGTGAATGCTTGTTATAATAGTTCTACCTATATATTTGTTCACAATGTATGTTTCATGTTTCATTTAACACAATTACATGAATTAGAACATTTTTTTCAAGGTCTTTGGGTTTTCTGTGGGCCAGGGAAATGTGCCACGGGTAATGCACCTACAATTAGAGTAGAATATAAATTGCTTAAAGGGAAGTTCCAATAGAAAATAAGATCAATGTTGCAACTATAGACTGTTCTATGTCAGAGATAGAAATTAGCAAAATATATGGTTATTTGAAACTCAACTAATCCACCAATCCATTCATCAACACATTCATGTAATGTGTATGTTTATGTTAATGAAATACAAATCGAAACCGTAACACTTTTTTTGTTTGCCAAATATCACTATTTTGAAAAGGGCTGCCAGTGTATCATGTTATTTATTTGTTCTCATTAGCCCAATGTCCCTCATAATTATATAATACATGAACTAGGGAACCCCAGAGGTGCACCTTGCAGTACCTTATCCCAATACAATTGAAAATTAACTAACAAGAAACTGATTAAAATGCTCCTGCCTGCATGCAAGTAACATTTTTTTATTTTTTTTTAAACTTTTCCTAGTACCTTTTGGCTCCTGGTTTGATCACATCAAAGGATGGATGCAGATGAAAGACCATGATAACTTTCTGTTCATAACATTTGAGGAACTGAAGAAGGTATTTTTATATGACACCGTGTTTTATCATTGCAACTTTATTTTAGATGCCTAGCTAAGCTACAATTATGTAAAATGGCTCCGAATTGTCACACACATTATCTAAATGTAATATTTATAATATATTTATCATGTATGCTATATTATATTTATACTATAATAAATTATTAAATATTATAGCATACTATCTAAATATCAGAAATGTCAGGCTCATAGTTAAGTTCCTAAAAATGCAAAATAAAATTGAATAATTACTACTTGTGTCGTCTTCATTTCTAATACATATAGACACTCGTCATCACTAGTTCTGATGAATTTGGCAGGTTAGGTGCATTTAAAACATACAAAGTTAAAATATTTCCACTTATGCAGTGATAGATCACCGAGTTACTTTAGGGAGCAAACAGCCTTCTGCAGCTTTCTGGCTCAACTGCAAGCAGAGAGAAAGAGTCCTGGGGCATGAACATGGTTATTCACATGGTGTGAAATATTGGAAATTCTAAGCAGATTTCTAGTTTTAGGCCAAATTAGCCAAAATGAAAACCGATAACTTCAAGATTGTTTACATTTTTCTATATAAGCATTCACTTTAAATTCACTTATCATGACCTGAGGGTGACATGGCTGACAAACCTATAAATCCTCTATCAGATGATAGTTATTTGATTTTTAACTCAAACAATGCTTGAGATTCTATAGGCAAATTGTCTGCTGGGGTGGATCCAAAATCCAATCTTGGGTGGAACATGTTAAGATTATTTAACTGCAGCGTAGTATATAAAAATACATACGCTCATCAGCAATGGACAGTACTTAAACATAGAAACATAGAATGTGACGGCAGATAAGAACCATTCGGCCCATCTAGTCTGCCCAATTTTCTAAATACTTTTATTAGTCCCTGGCCTTATCTTATAGTTAGGATAGCCTTATGCCTATCCCATGCATGCCTAAACTCCTTTACTGTGTTAACCTCTACCACTTCAGCTGGAAGGCTATTCCATGCATCCACTACCATCTCAGTAAAGTAATACTTCCTGATATTATTTTTAAACATTTGCCCCTCTAATTTAAGACTATGTCCTCTTGTTGTGGTAGTTTTTCTTCTTTTAAATATGGTCTCCTCCCTAGGAGATTTCAGAGATAAAGGATATATAAGAGGAAACTCTAAAAAAAGCATTTGAAGATGTAGCAAAGATGGAAAAACCACCTCTCCTAGAACATAAACAAAAGAATCATATAGGAAATGATAACAAAGTAGCTTTGATCTGTGATTTTAATTGTAGAAGTAATATTTTTAAAAGGATAGTGAATAAATATTGGCCCATATTACTGGGAGATGAGATTCTTAACACACTACTCTGTTGATTCCCTTTATGTATTTAAATGTTTCTATCATTTCCCCTGTAGCGGAGGCCTGGTATTCCCCAGGTTAACTCCAATAGAGATCCCAGTGAGGCTCAGGAACAAGTAGTAAAAATACCATAAAGTAATAATTCCAGCAAGCAAGGTAATCCATGATATCCCCATACAGATCCCAATGACTGGACGACACACAGCATCAGGAGCAGAACTGACTTTTAATGCACACAACTTCCTTATAAAGCATTCTCCCATGCAAGGGAGGGATTTGCAATAATTAGTACAGTAGCCAATCCTCCACGAGTTACCACCCACACATCCCCTCCCCTTAGTGTGAAACATAATCCCCTTATGCAGGACACAAATTCCCAGAGTTTCTGGATGTACCCTTAAACATAGGGGTACCCCTTTAAATGTTACATCCCCTGGTAGCCCTGAACTGGGTGAGACACATATCCAAAAATTACCCAGATCGGACCAGGGGTTTGGGAAATTTATGGAAGTACTGAAATGACCGACCGCACTGGGTTTACCAGCCGAAAAGGGCTCCATGTGTTTTGGCCCTGCGGTCGGTCACAGAAAAGGGAATGTAACACACAAATGACTTATGTTAGGAGAGCTGGGGAGGTTTTATGTAATTTAACTTGTTCGTGGGATTCAAACTACCGAACGAGAAGCCGTTCGGTAGTTTGTATACGAATTGGCGGAAGTGTGGAGTTCTCAGCGGTGTTTGCCTAACCGAGTGTCCGATTTGGGTTCCAGACACTCGACGGCAAAACACCACTGTTCGGGAGTTTAAAATGGCAGCCGCCACGTGTTCGTCTCCCGAATGGCGGCCACCCAGAGAACAAAGGACCCACTGCACGAACCACCAATTACCCGTTTGCAACATTGTTGCGAACAGTAATTGGAGAAACACTTATTACCGGGGTGGTCTGATTGTTCGGTAGTTTCATTCGCATAAGAACTGGAGTGATTTTACCGAACAATCAGACGAATGCTACATACACTTCACATATACAGGTTACAATTCAACCGAATACATAGACATAAATGCATTTTTTAGGACAGCCCAATGCCATCCGCTACATTCCCCCTGTCTCGTCTTTCCTCCAAGCTATACATGTTAAGATCCTATAACCTTTCCTGGTAAGTTTTATCCTGCAATCCATGAACCAGTTTAGTAGCCCTTCTCTGAACTCTCGCCGAAGTATCAATATCTTTCTGAAGATACGGTCTCCAGTACTGCGTACAATACTCTAAGTGAGGTCTCACCAGTGTTCTGTATAATGGCATGAGCACTTCCCTCTTTCTACTGCTAATACCTCTTCCTATACAACCAAGCATTCTGCTAGCATTTCCTGCTGCTCTATTACATTGTCTGCCTATCTTTAAGTCATCAGAAATAATCACCCCTAAATCCCTTTCCTCATATGTTGAGGTTAGAACTCTATCAAATATTCTGTACTCTGCCCTTGGGTTTTTACGTCCAAGATGCATTATCTTGCACTTATCCACATTAAATGTCAGTTGCCACAACTCTGACCATTTTTCTAGTTTACCTAAATCATTTGCCATTTGGCTTATCCTTCCTGGGACATCAACCCTGTTACATATCTTAGTATCATCAAGTCCTTCTGCAATATCATTATTATATTAAAGAGAATGGGTCCAAGTACAGATCCCTGAGGTACCCCACTGGTGACAAGCCCAAGCTTTGAATATACTCCATTGACTACAACCCTCTGTTGCCTGTCACTCAGCCACTGCCTTACCCATTCAACAATATTGGAATCCAAACTTAAAGATTGCAATTTATTGATAAGCCTTCTATGTGCAGCAGTGTCAAAAGCCTTACTGAAATCTAGGTAAGCAATGTCTACTGCACCTCCCTGATCTTGTTACCCAATCAAAAAAATCAATAAGATTAGTTTGGCATGATCTCCCTGAAGTAAACCCATGTTGTCTTTGATCTTGAAATGCATGTATTTTTAGATGTTTAACAATCCAGCCTTTAACATGGTTTCCATTACTTTCCCCAGTACTGTGAGGTTTATTGCTGTGGAGCTTCGATATGTAATATTCACTGTGGATGAGTGCATAACAAAGTTTCACAGCAATAAAATTTGCACACTACACAGCAAACGGTAGGATTTGTGTGTAATGTTACCATGTGTGACTCTAGGGACACATTTGCGTAGAATTTTTATGAATATACAGGTATTTGTAGAGTGTTGGTATATGTGGATGTAAAGGTGAATATATTTGTGTCAGTATATTTGTATTTGTTTTAAGTTTGTTTGCATATATGATTATCAGGGTGTTCAAATTATCATTTCCACTATTCACAGTCCCTCTCTATGACCTCTCCATAAGTGTTCTTTTCTCTCCCTGGGCTATTTAAATTTATATCTTTCTTGTGCTGCTTTCCCTCCGCAAATTACTTTCACCCTTTACCTAGCCATTGCCACTCAAGCCATTTTCTCTTATATCCTGCTCCACCTACGACCCATTCTCTTTAATATTTTTATTAGTGATATTGCAGAAGGACTTGATGGTAAGGTATGTCTCAAGCCACTTTCTCTTTCTTCCTGCTCCCCAGGGTGGACTGTGAGTAAAATAGGAATTGGTAATAATAGGAAATGGACACTTTAAACAGTCCTCAAACCTCTCAAAAATCCTCCTTCTGTTCTAACCTTTTATTCTCTCTGCATTCCAATATTCCATATCTCTTTTACTAATCTAGTCACTTTCCCAACTTTGCCTGGTTTCAGCCATCTTTCCCTGCTAAAATACCCAAGACATGGACAGGGTGCCAATTAGTTTTAAAGGGCTACACTAGGCACCACAACTACCTTAGTTAATTGAAGTAGTTATGGTGCCTAGAGTATCCTTTTAAGACTTATTCTCCTATTCCCATATACTCTTTTGAAAATGAATTTGATAACTTTAGCCTTGTTGGACCGTGTTTACCAATAAAGACTGCCTTTAGTGGTAAATTACTTGGCATGCCTGGGCTCTCTTTGTTATCCTGTTTTGAATCCTACTGCTTACATTTCAATAAAACATAGCAAATTAGATAATTTGTAGATCATTTGATTAATGATGAGGTCAATAATGTAATCGTTAGAGATTGCATAAATGTTTTCTTTCAAAAAAAAAAAAAAAAGGCGTCTCAGGGGGATATGTAACTATATGGTAACCTGTTCATTAGGAAGAATAGGCAACGTGGAGGTCATCCATTGACACTGGAAGAAAGACATTTTAGTTTACAGCAGAGGAAAGAGTTCTTTGCCATCAGAGCAGTAAACATACATATGGAAAATATATAATTTTATAAGATTCTGTAAATATTATAAATATTTTTTATAAAGAAAAGGCCTGCATTTTATTTTTATTTTTTGAAAATCTGAATATTCAGGGACATAATTAAAAAGCAGGGGAGCAATTGTTGATCCAGTGACAAATCTGATTGCCATTATGGAGTCAATATTTTATTTCCTTTTTTTTTTTTTGCACAATTGGCCATTACTTTATTTTGGCTTTTCACATTCTTTTGGATCAGTGGTACAAAAAGATGCGTTAAAAGGTTGAATTTGAGAATTTGATAGACCTGAGTCTCTTTTTTTTTTTTTTTCAACCTAGATCACAATATAATATAAAGATAATATCTTTAAAATTAGTAATGCAGATTTATTTTCTAGCAGACTAGTTTTGCAGAGGATGCTTAATTATGACTCTGCGTAGGGATGTTCAACTCTTTCATACCATACTTTTTCATTACTATGTACATATTACAATCAAATTCTTTTTTTGTTCATTAATCTTTTTCATCAGGGTCAATTTGTGTCTTTATTTTCATGATTAGATTTAACGAAGTGTCATATTCTCTCCATAATTTTAGGATCACAGAGGAACCATAAAGAAGATTTGTACATTTCTGGGGAAAGAGTTAAGTAAAGAAGCAATTGACTTGGTTGTGGAGCATTCCAGTTTTAAAACTATGAAAGAGAACAAAATGTCCAACCATAGTCTAGCTCCAGAATTCATCATGAAGAAGAACAGCAACTTCATTAGAAAAGGTAAAAATTACTAATTAATTATTCAAGAAAGCTTGCCAACAGATTTGCCTAAATAGGTGACTCCATTAGAAATCATTAATTGACCCATTAGAACAACATACCAACAATAAAAGAAAATCGTGTAGCATAAATGACTATCTATTATTAACATCACTGACATGAGGTTATACTGTTAAGTAAAAGCGTGCACCCTCTCTCAGTAGAAACAAAAGCTACCAACATTTAGGCTGGCAGTTAACCGGGAAGGTAGGGGGGATTGGAATTACATTTGCAATGATGCCAAAGTATATCTAGGTGTATTGGACCAGGTATCAAATAATTCTCGCAGAATATGCCAAAGCCCTATAATTTTAAAACATTTTAGAAAGAAAAGAAAAAGAGGAAAAGCAACAATAATCAACAGAAATACAAGAGCGATCCTCAGTGGTGGACTCCAGGAAGACATGAAGTTTATCATGCCGAGTTGTGGTCAGTGTTATAACAAGGAGCCATTCAGGTCATCTCTCGGTGGATGAGGGAAATTGGGGAGACAGGCCAGCTTCATCTGACTTTGGTGACTCTATAAGGCATAAATTGCTTAAGTGCATCTTTAACTCCTGGTAGCTCTGCAATGTATGGATAGTTCCAAGGTGTGTAAATAAGAGCATGTTCAGTAACCCACACCTGTAGGAGATGTCCCTGGTGCAGAGATGTTGCCTCAGATTCACTGGAGCCTCGTGGCCTCCCAGGCCCCATCTTAGACACCAAGGTCTGCATTGTCTTATGTATTTTTCTTACACTTGACATTCTAAGACTCAAGCTGAACTTCCTGTGTCAAAGATAGTTTTTCCACAATACTCACCCCTCCTCTGTATTCTCATGTTGCTTCCTTTTACCAGTTCTGAAGTCCTGTCATGTAAACTAGGGCACCGGTGAAATTACTGAATTTTCTCCGAATAGCATGTTAACAATTTGGCTATTCGTGTTCTGATGAAGTTCGCTCATTCTGTATGATTCTGAATTTCATTTGGAAGAATGAAATTGCAATCCAGGCTGGGCTGCATCTTGTAGCCTTTTAGTAGAAAGCCACCTAAACTGGTACCCTGTGGGATCACCATAAAATGGCCATTCCTCAAGTATTAGGAAACTAACTAAATAGCAGAAAGACCAACAATTGGTCTTTCAGTGCACTTCACCAATACAAAATAAAAAATACTTAGTATTGGTAATTAAGGGATGTTAAAATCTCTCTCCTGCACGTACTGGCTGCTCACTGTTGTGAAAAATTACTTCATCCATTTGGCTTAAGTGGCTTAAATTTGCAAAGTTGAATCTGAACAAACCACGAGACTGCAACAATGCACTTTGGAAAGACATGACTAAAGTGGAGATGTTTGGTTTTCGCCAAACATGCAGCTGTGCATTATGGCCAAACACAGCATATCAGCACAAATGGCTCATACGGTGGTGGATGGGTGATGATTTGTGCTTGTTTTGCAGCCACAGGACCTGGAAACCTTGCAGTCATTGAGCTGACCATGAATGTCTCTGTATACCGAATGATTCTAGAGTCAAATGTGAGGCCATCTGTCCAACAGCTTAATCTTGGCTGAAATTAAGTAATGCAATAGGACAATGATCCCAGGCACACTAGTAAATCTGCAACAGAATGGTTGAGAAAGAAAAGAATCAAGGTGTTGCAATGGCCAGTCAAAGTCCAGATCTCAACCCGATTGAATTGCTGCTGCAGGACCTTACGAGAGCATAAACAAATTCCCGCAAACCAAAAAGAATTGAAGCAGCGTTGTAAAGAAGAGTGGGCCAAAATTCCTCCACAATGATGTGTGAGACTGATGATGTCATACAGAAAATTATTACTCCAGGTTATTGCTTCTAAAGGTGGTTGTAGAAGCTATTTATTCATAAAGTGTGCTTGTTTTTTCACACATAGCGCTTTCATTATGGCTTTATTTTTGTTAAATAAATCATGACACAGTGTAGTATGTCATCTTTTGTTCATCTGAGGTTGTATTTACCTAATTTTAGGGCCTGCTAAGGGACAAATGATTGTTATTATGCAAAACCATAGATTTCAAACAGGGTGTACTATATTTTTTCCATGACTGGATGTATTGTTGTTTCAACACTTTTTACATAGCTGTTTAGCTTCCAATCTAATTCATAAATTGTAGTAGAATTGTGTATTTTGTGTAGCTTTACAATCACACGTATAACAAGACTCTTTAAAAGTGTATTATATACACCTGATTTGTGATTTCCTGTACAAAACCCCAAATAGTGTTCAGCTACAATTTCTGAGCACAAAAATACCCCCAATGTATGCCCTGACCACTTCAGTTTTTAATGTGGGAACTTTTGTAGATGAATTTGGACTAATTTTGAAGCATTTTAGCAATTTGATAGTTTAAACTACACCATGAAGGCCTACCATTTGTGAAAGACACTTCACGGTATCTCATATAGTGTATATTGTGCCTGATCATGTCAAAAAAAATTTCCACCAGTTTATGTCAACATTTGTATTAAGAAAGAGTTTTTGGGCATTTCTGACATAGACACTGCTTTTTTGCTGTTTTTTTTTGTTGTAAATCTGACATGTAACACTGTGATAAAAGACCCGAAATTGTGCTCCAACACATCTTCTGAGTAAATCACAGAAGCAGATTTATTTTGGAGCATTTTAGTCATGTGCCAAATTACCCAACAAAGGCCTGACATTTATTAAAGAAGACAACCCAGGGTATCTCAAATGGCTTATATTGATGTAGCGTTACTTACCTTAACCTGCCTGCGCAGTGCTTCTCCTGCAGCTTGGTTGACTGCACAGCATGGCCCCAGCTAAAAATAAAAGTACTTACCATTTGGCTCCCCTGCATTCACTGACCTTTGAGGGCGCGTTGTTAAATAGACTATTGGCATGAAGTCACACCCACCCTTAAAGGACCTCATAAAAGTTTGCTTCTCCCCATCACCTTAACTTGGCGAGGAAAGTCTATAGCTGTTTTAGCGCTCATACATTCAGAAGCAGCTGATAATGTTATAGACCGGGGTTTTGTCAGGACCCACTTACCAGCCCTAAGGAAGAAGACACCCTTGGCCGTTGAGGTCATAGATGGTAGACCTTTATATTCTCCTTTTAATCACTTATGAGACAGAATAGTTGATGTTGTGCCTAATCATTAAATTCATGAAGCACCAAAATCCAGAAAGTAATCATCAATACTTAAAAAGGTTTATAGCGATATTGGCGGGCACACAACCCAGTTTGGATAGAGTATATTGAGTTATAGGAAAGAGAAATCACACAAAGACCAAGTTGAATATAATAATTCACACTACACTTTATTGTCCACAAAGGGATCTAAGCAAAGTAATTTTTACTCTCATTTAAGTAGTTGCATGCATTTACTTCAAACAGCTTAGTATCTAGATAGATCAGCTTAAGTATACATCACCATTAGAGGAGCTTGGTTGTCTCCTCGCTGCACACGACTTAGGAAACTCAAGCAGTGCGGCTTGGAGAAACCCTCTCTTCTGGGAACAGCAGAAACTAGTAACACGCGTCCGCATTACAGGTGGGTAGTTCTCCAAGTGAGCGCAAGATTCCCCTAGTCTTATATACCTGTCTTCAAGGACAGTCAGTAGTTCCTTACTGGGGCAGCCCAGCAAAAGACCTTGATACAAGCAGCTAGATGGACCTGACAGTTGGCCAGAGTGTTCAGGACCACCAGAACTCATGCCAAGTCTTGTGCGGTTAATTATCTCTTATCTACAAGCTTTCTTTGTACTGTTCCAGAGATGGCAACAGTGGCGTACATACCAGGGCCCCTGCGACCCGGTATGTACGCCCAGGGCCAGCCTCTTCCCCTGGGCACCGGTCTCATTCAGCAGCGCGCAAGGGCGGGGGAACAGAGTCAGCACAGCTCCCCCAACGGCCGCCAGCAGACCTCCCCCAGCAGCCTCCAGAAGACCTCCCCCTGGCAGTTATTAGTAATGTGTTTCAGTGTGAGTTTGTCTGTCTGTTATGGTGTGTGTGTCTGTCTGTCTGTGTCATGGTGTCTGTCTGTATGGTGTGTGTGTCTGTCTGTCATGGTGTGTGTCTGTCTGTGTCATGGTGTCTGTATGGGGTGTTTGTGTGTGTCTGTCCGTCATGGTGTGTGTGTCTGTCATGGGGTGTGTGCCTGTCTGTGTCATGGGGTGTGTATCTGTCATGGTATATGTAACGGAGCTCCTTGTACTCCGACTGAGTACCCTCCATTGACGGATGCTCCTAGCGCTTCCTGAGGACTACAAGCACTGCAGCAGACACCACAACCACCGCAGACTCCGCAACCGCCGTATCTTGACTGGAGTCTCGCCGTCTTCCTTCCACTCTGGATCAGCTTCTGTCCTCCAGGACTGTGTGAGAAAGAACTCTTCCTTCCACCCTGTATGAACCTCCAGCATCCAGGACTGTGTGGTGAAGACCCCTCCTCCAAGGAGAGCGTGTCAGGAACAAGCTCTTAAAAGAGCTAAGTGACTCAAGCTCAGGGGAGCATGCAGAGCATAGCAATCCCCAGTGTGATTATAACAGCTCCCTCCAATAATGAGACAAGGCTACGTTTAGAGGGATCAAGAAGAACTGTCAAAACCTTTATTCCCTTGGGACCAGCCAATACAGTCACCACAATAACATTGTTGTGAAACCTCAATAAAATCACAAACAGTCAAACCATATCAAGAAACACACAGTGACTTATCACAACACAATGGCACATTTTTAAAGGGGTGGGGGGAGACAATATTTAACAGTAAATATCTCACCTGCCTGCAAAATTAGCAATATGCAAATCTACCCGAATATGCAAATGAACCAGTCTTGCAATTCAGGTAGTGCATATTGCTGTTGCTACCAACAGAGGGCACTAGACCAGCTCCATAGCCAAACCCACCTAGTTGGTAGCAAACCTCAGCAATACAAGAGAGCAGGCAATACATTTCACAGTACACACACACACACTATAAACAATTACATTACACACACCCTGCACCTATAATGGGTACAGGGTGACTAAAACATAGGATAAATAAAGCAGCCCACATAAATAGTCTGTCTGAAGGTAGACTAGGGGCTTTAAAGCCAGATTGATGAAAGAGTCATAGTCACAGG